CAAGCCTGAGAAGGGGGAAACGAAAGCCAGGAATAACTACCTGCATGTGGCATGTGTATAGGAAATTGACTTTCACATGTTAAAACCGTGAACAAGTAAGTGCGAGTAGAATGCCACCCAAACATTCAATACACATAAACCAAATAGTGTCGTTAGAGCAGGTCGATGATGCATATGATGTACTAATCCATTTGCCTTGCGTCTTCTGCATCACGAACCCACCAAAAATCAAGTAAAGACACCAGCAGGCTAATGTGGTCTAAACTAAAGACTCACTTCGTTCGCAAATTCTTTTAAGCCTAGCCTATCAGCTCGCTTTCGTTGCAGAAATATATTGTGTGTAAACGGTGAAACAGCTTCAATTTGATGTTTTCCAGTAATAGACCTGCACCACTACCTGCACCGCAAATGGAAAAGCATTCGTGAAACAGTCCCACATAAGTGTCTCCATCTGATTGGAGCGCTTTCCCCTATCCTTGCATTGGAGGCTTGAATTCCCATGAGTGAGTGGCGAACAAGAAATGTTTGTTGTGCACGCTGCCACAATTAGATATAGGGCTGGTTCCTATTGATTTCACTTGGACATTTAAATTTGTCTCGGAGTTGTTTTCTGTGAAAGGTGTCGGCAGTAGGATTGGCACTCACATCGCTTGTGAAAACATCTGGACAAGTAAGGTAACACCCCTTCTTCCATCTCATATGATCGTGGGATGTTTTCATCACCACCAAGCTGTCTCCCAGGTTTGTGTGTGTGTGTATGACACGCGCCTGTGAGCGCAAAACTCTTCTCAAGAACCTTGAATTGAAACGGCTGGACAAACAGGCAAAAACACTGATGGAAGCTGGAGGTAACCGCCCGGGAGAAAGAAACCATGCAATGACATTGACATTCTAGTCTTGACCCAACACCTAAGCAGCACCGCCCAGGGTGAGTGAACAACGGTGTACATTGGGGTCATCTACTCTGTTAGTAGACCCGGTAGACCTAGCCCCAGCAGGGAAAAGTAAGAAGTATACGTTCCCTGTCCACTCTTCCAACTGTCTGTTGAGGGAGGCGTGACTCTGGTACTTGCCCATCTTCAAAAAAACGTCAAGAACCGTTCATTTCTTTTCCAAGGGTCATGGCCATGGCTAGATGTTGTTTGCAGATGTTTGCAGGTCTTTCAGTGACAAACTTCAAGGACCTCGATGGCGGTGTTGCACGAGTATTTTAGCTGGGAAGGTGCTGCTCTAGTTGTAATCTACCACTTGTACCTCGTGTGAATGAAGCCGTATGGCCTGGCTCCGGTCATGAAGTATATATTTGAAGTCAACGTACTTGTTCATGGTCCCTTCCTTGGGGTTGGTGAAAGCCTAGAGGCCATGCAATGGGATGTCCAATATACCCACACATCCAGTTTTAGTGCATCAATCTTGGCATGTCCCGTCTGAATGGCGTAGTGAGGTATCAAGGTGCCCAGTGACTGGATAATCATATCAAATCACACAGGAATGCATTGTGCCATGGTGTGTGGTTGACATTATTGTAATCAACGAGTTTCAACCTCATCCTTGTCAAGTATAATCTTGTTGACCTGCTGCAGAATGAAAGGAAATACTTCACCGCCAACTTCACCGCATGTAATCTCTTGTTATATAGAATAGTGTTATGAAGTTCTGATGGGATAATGACGAGATAAGTCTCAAGTACCAGAACAAGTTTCAACCTGTGTTCTTGTCAAACATGAACATATTACGTAATCCTATGTCAAGGGTTGGCTTGGCAATGAGGGTCCTATACAGAAGGGACAAACCTACCAAGCTTTTCAACGGCTCTTTCAGCAGTCTTTTTAATCATTCCGAATTATATACAGTACAATAATTGAAATTCACTGAAGTCAAGCCTTGGATTGTGTTTGCGGTCCATATTTCTCAGAGAAATCAGCATCTGGCAGCATGTGTGCCTTTACCACATCAGCAGTTTTGTTTTGACCCGAGAGAATCCTCAAGCGTCTGCTTAAGCGACGGTAGCTGTATGAGAACACTCGTGGGCATACAGCAATGAGAGTGGCGACCTGTTCAAGAGAAAAATAGTCTTTGAGCAGTACAGACTTTGGTTGCAAATTGTGCTCGATGCTAAGCCCAAGAATTTGCGGAAAAGCTGCCACTGCCTTTGCAATTTGCTGACTGTCAAGCCCCAAGTCACGCAGCCACTCCACCGTGGGCTTCAAATTTTGCT